TAAATGTCGAACTGTCAATACGAAGCTCGCGATTCGTGTATCTGCGTACGAGAAATACGCCATCGATAACCAATCGTCATCGCGGAAAAACGATAACGATAATCGTGAGATAAAATTGACATCGTTTCACCGAAATTGGATATATAACTAAATTAAACCAAAATTGTAGGAACATCGAGTACAATAGACATTTATATACAGTTTGCCACGTAAAATCTTTTAGAGAAATTCCCTATTATTTCTTATTTTATCGCTGAGTGAAATTGTTTTGCAACTTTCGCGTTTTCGCAAATGCGGAGAAATTTTGATATTATATATAAGCCAAAATTAATGTCGGATATATCTCGCCTCTTAGGCACGGCCTCCATTCGTTGAATATGTATGAGGAGTTAACGGAAACGTACTTTAATAGTATGAAAATACCGTCATAATTATTACTATACTACGTTTTCGCTGAATAGCATAGTATACGCCGTCGTAAATCGCGCGTTAATCCTCTGATATTTTCGAATTCAATTAAACCTGAATTTTTATAATTTGTAATCGTAAAGTAATAATTGTTAAATTTGCAATAATAATTTATATAATAACATGCAACCTTAAACTCGCTGTTTATCATTTGTGCGATAAAGAACTGTCTGCTTTTCTTCCCTATAATGTTACGATTAATATCTTCGCAATCTTATTGCGATTCCAGACATTAATCATGTATATTCATATTGCTTTTGATTTGAAGACACCTTATATATTATTTTAACTTACTGACACTACTATATATTTTTCGCTACTGAAAAATTGACTTTTGAATATGGACCTCATTGGCATTTATGTTGACTATCTGACTATTAATAACCCAAGCAGAAACAACAAGTCATTATCAAAATGATGTCAAAATGACTCCAAAATGATCATTGAAAGTTATTTTTCAATCATTTTCGATTCATTTAAATGTCATTTTGACATTATCGTGCTGTTCTAAGGAGCATATTATTATGATTGTATCTTTGCGTCGAAAATTGTAATGGAAAGTGAAATGAGGTTCTCATTCTTTCTTATACCCACATTAATTTCTTTATAATGTAGGATATATTAATTTATTTTTTAAGCTTATTAATTTTATACGGAAGAGAGAGAGAGGACTATATATAAGTAAATAGTAAACTTGAAACGTTCTATATACAAATAATTCTCCGTGAGAATAAATGTTATTATTATCGATCATCCTAATTTTTGTTTAATTTAATTGACCTTATATTTAAATTCGTTGTTGCTTTGCAATTACACTATAATTTTTATGCAATCATGAACTCTCATTATAGTGCGAGATAAAATTGTATTACAAGTTCTAACAGATATACGAGTTGTACAACCAAGACGAGTAAGTTAAGACTCTTACGACGTAAGTATTATAGTTCACTTTTTTTATTCTACTCATACAGAATAAATTGTTGCGACTAAAACGAGTAAGTACACCGATTTTACTGCCATCGACGAATACAAACACGACTCTGGCTGGTGGCCAAATCCAGCGGACACTTTTATGAATTACTAAAAATTTCCTATGTGTCGTTAATGGCCGTCCCGAAAAGTGTTTTAAGCCAAGAGACAATCGCATCGTCGCTTTCGCAGTCTAATACCCGGTACGACAAAAGTAAATCACTGGACACATAAAGGGAGTACGATTTCGATTAAAGGATTAATGCAGAACTTGGAATTACACACATGGAATTATATGTGCTTTGCCAAAGTACATTTTACAGATACTCTCGTACACTTCTCGAACGGCGCAACGCGAGTGTCTCGAGGCTGCGTGAGTGGTAGCCCACATGAAACAAAGAGCTTTACCGGCGTTTGGTCACACTATCCTGCATGGATGATCCAATGGACAAAAGGACTCGGTCTCTCTGTGCACACAGGAAGTCTCATTGTATCTGTTTAGCCGACCAGAGTACACGTGCATTTGCAGATGGCTTACTAACTCGAACGGCCTACTGCTAAATTTATCCCTCTCAACACGAAATTATTTCTCTCCTTGGCAAACGTCCTTCTCTCGGAGATGAAGCATCCCGGGACGAGAGACAATAACTAACCAGCATTAATTTAAAGTGCGCAAAAGGACGCGATGGTAGAGTACCATCAACTTAACACTATAAACGCTTCAAAATGTTATGATCAACTAGAAGACAGAATTTATAGAGAGGCAAAAAAGTTTGGCCAGAAAATTTTTTGTTTATCAAATCATACACATATTTATAAAAGAAATAAACTCTAGAATTAACACAGTTACACTTTATCAAATAAATATTAATATCTCCAATTCATTAACTAATGATCAATCATTAAGATGAAAACTTTTTGTTTGCAGTCTGGTGCAGTCTTTTTGATACTTAATGAGATGTAACAAACATTTCAAAGTTTTTTTAAATATACATTACTATATCCAGGTTGCAAGCTGATGTTATTCATCATCATTTTGATGTCAAAAAAATATCACTTGAATAATTTGACAAACCCGAAAACTTTATAGCCAAATTTTTTTGTCATCCTAACAATTAAAAAATGTTTCAAATCATGAAGTAACATGAAGTTGATCGCACTCGCAGTTTGCATATCTGCTTCGATAATAAAATCGTCCGATTTGCCATAAAACTATAAGCACGCACTCCGCCGCTGTCGGACAGAATGGCGCACAAAATTTAAATCAAGTCGGACATTTGCACGTTGCTAATACTCGCATATTCCAGAAACGATCGAACTATCACTCGTACGGGATGGGGAAACATGCGGAGGGGTACGCCCGGTGTTGGTACGCGAGTGCTCGTTTGGTTATCTAATTCTGCTGGAAGTTAGGCACCTATCGCGCCGCATGCAAAGTGCATTTGAGAGGGTATGGTGTGGTTAGTTACAAACGTACAGCAGATCCATCGCTGATTCGAGGCAGATTTGTTAGAGTAACAATGCACGCGTACAACCACACGGCCAGCGCGCACCACCCTGTTGTCGGTATATATACACCGAGCACCAGAAATTCCTTTACGTCAAACTATGCTGTTGTCTGCTGACTTGCGATTAGAGTAAATTCCGGAAATACAAAGAATATTTGGCGTCTCGGCACGACAGAGAAGCCAATTTAGTCATCTTGCGCTAAATATGTACTGAGAAAAATGGTCTGGTTGGATTAAAGTCATTTTAGTGGAATCAACGAATCAGAATTTTCTGATTAAATCTACTAGAATTTTAGTTGAGATAACTAGAGTTCTGACTGATATAATTATTTTGGTAAAAATAAGAATTTTAATAGAAATATTTATCAGAAATATTGTATCAACCAGATTACCTCAATTAGAATTCAAATAAATTTAATCAGAAAATTCTGATTTGTCCATGTTCAACCAGAAATTTGTTTCAGTGTATCAATGTTTCTTATGCAATTAGATAATTATTGTTTTACCGCCGGAAATTTCAACAACACGAAGAAAGATATGAATGATTTTCATTAATTCGAATGTGTGTTTCTTTCGTTTGATTATTACAATTTCACAGGAATCAAATGAGATTCGATACTAATAAGATTTGATTGATTTAGAATAATGTAGAACTTTTGAAATAGTTTAACAATGAGATGAAAATTAGATTAAAATCCATTTCTGTCTGTCACCGGATGTATAAATTATCAGGAAAAGATATTTGAATATCTGCATTCGCACAACGTGTGAATGAGAAACGCGTTCTTCGAAAGCGAGAGAATTGCTTTATCATTTAATGCATATGCAACACCAATTTGAATGACGGAAGCGTGTGTCAGAACGCATCAACCATACGCATTAACAAAAATACAGGTACAGTAATGCCCGAATATATGCAAAGTAGATTAAGTATACAGAAACTCACTGTTACATAAATAAATGTGGACGCTTAAAACGCTTATAATTATATTCTAAGTTTCAATTATGATATCTTTAATGTATGTACTTCTTTTTCTCCTTGAAGAATACATAGAATATTAGAAAATTAGAAACTTTATTATATCTATATATTAAAAAAATTAAAAACTTAAATACAAATGTAAATTGCTAATAATCATTTAAAATTTTATATTATCGATAAATCACTGTCTGCAAATAGATTATATTTTATTTATTATATAAATAGATTTATATTTAAATAAATTATTTATACTTTAAAATAATAACAATCGAAATTTTATGATTAGTTTTCAGCACACAAAAGTAATCTGCTCTTATATTTTAATATTGAAAATAAATAACCCATATTTCAAGTTATATGATTAATAACACACATTCCACATCATGTAATTATGAATCCGGGTTAATTGTCGATGTTCTCGTCCGATTTAATTTTCAATATCTGTCACGTAAATGTTCTGATTCGTGAATTTTATGTACATATAATACATATTATGCAAATTCGGGCATCACTCTACAAGTAACAAATAAATTCACTCACCATGTTGCATTGGCATCATGCTGTAAATTGCATCTGAAACAATTTTATACGATTATTAATTATAGTTCAACAGTTATTTTTTATATGCAATAACAGATTATTCTATTTTATTTTAATTTCACTTTTTCAATTTTATTCTAAAAATTGTTAACGTATACAATTTATTACTGAGTAAAAATAAAAAAAAATTTTTTTTCACTTAATTTATTTCCAATTTAATTAATTTTCTAATAATTATAGTCAAGAAACTCTCTGATCTTTAAAGTTATTTATATATTGCATAAAATCAACGAAAAAATTAATTGCCTCTAGCAATTAATTTAAAAACAAAGTAAATTTATTTACCAGCCAATGATCGTTGCCCGGCTTCGCCTGCTTCTGTATCCAAGTTGATTCCTGAAGATCAAGACACTTCCATTTTCTGAGACACTCACGGAAACGTCGATCGATAAAACGTGACTAATTACGATCACGCGAGAAACTATTAACGACACACTCCCGATTTTAGATACTCTGGTTTTTCGACACTCCCGATTCTCAATATTGAACATTTTTTCCGATATTCCCGATTTTCGACACTCCCGATATCCACTCGCGACTTTTACTCCTCAATCCGCATCTGCCAGCCATATCATCTAAAAAATTAATGCATACCAATGATAATCATAGAATATAACCACACGAAGAGAATAATATGAGATGTATGAAGAAAATTAAACTGTAATGGCGTGTGTTGAAGCATAACGAAAGAATGGTCATCACAATTGAGTATCATTGTAGATAATTGTTGATTTAACCATCTCCGGTATTGATAAAATTAGGATCATTCAACGTATTTTTGCACGAAATGAACGAATCTGACAAAAAAAGTATCGCTCTACGCCGCGAATCAAGATATTATAATTTTTAAAGTCAACAGATACCTGTATGCAGGTTAGGAAATCGTTGTAATAATATGTCTCTCACAAAAAACATATGAGGCTAGAATAAGTCTTTCTGCTTCAATTACACAAATTCTCTACTTTAAAACAAAAATTCTCTGCTTGCTTTTCTAACCTGAATAGGTCGAATCATCAACTTTAATACCACGGGACAGAGCGACATTTTTTTGTCAGATTCGTTCATTTTATGCAAAAACGCGAATGAGCCTAATTTTATCAGACACTAAACTCAATAACTATCCGAAATACTCTGATCTTTCGGGATTCCCGATTCTCAATACTCACCGACATTTCCAATTTTCAACACTCCCGAAATCCACTCGCGACTTTGAAGGGCATTCTTCTAATTGATTGTCGCGACAAACGTTTCAACTGGCAACGGGTGTTTGCAACGCACATTGTAGAATGCTCTTTACTCCTCGTTTCGCATCCGCCAGCCAAGGTATCTACAAAAAAAACACATACAATAAAACTACACGCGAAGCGAATAATATGTACGAAGGAAATTAGACTAATGACGTATTAGAGATTAGAGTAACGAGAGAAACATACACAGTTATAATCACAATTGAATATCGTGTACACTATTAACGTTCGCAATAACGATAGGTATACTACAGGGATTATTACTCTTAATACACAAGATTAAGATTCGTACGGCGTCCGTTCGATACGAAAAGATACGCACAATTACGCGCGCGGTCACCCACCTGCGACGTTCGTATGAGGAATGTGGCCGGCAGGTGGCGAGTGGGGTGGCACGACGTGGTACGGCGTGACGTACGCGAGGTGTTTACATAGGAGCTTGCGACCTTGGACGGTTAACGTCGACTTAAACATTCTTTAGTCTAGCATCGATACCTGACTTTTTACAATGCTTTTCCGATGCTCTTTACATTGCTTATAATTATTTTATTAATAAAGGTAAATATATTCACACACACACATATACCGTTCTCTAATTATGTTCTCTATTTAATCCTTCATATTAGGATTTTTTTTTACCTAAGCGAAATTTCACTCTCGAATTTCTTAGTATAAAAATTTCAATCTTTATTAAATAAAATTCTTACATTTGAGTTAAATAATTATTTGTCAAGTAGCGATGTAGTACAGATGAAAAATCATCTAGAATTTTCTTAGATTTTTTTGAAAACTTAGAACAGTAAAAAAATTTAAGCTGGACGAAAAAGACCTAGCGTGCCTACGAAGTAAAAATATGCGTATCTAATACGAAATAATATGTGTGTTTACAGAAGAGTTTGGCATTTCGATTATAAAACAAGTTTTTAAAACACATTTTTATGAAAGTTTTAAGCAATTGAATTGAATAAGTCATTCAAATAAATTCACAATTTAAGAAATTCAGTATTACATATTGTAGTGAGATTTTTAACTATTAGTACACACGTTAGTTTTGGATACATATTCGTTTTTGAGTCCGATCATTCGTGTCTTGGTTTAATTTTCATCACTTTTACAGGTATATATGTATAAAGTATTAAACAATTTCTCCATATATTTTGATATCATTAGAAAATATTTGTGTTATATATTCGTAACAAATTGTAGATAAATTGTTATAACTAAATATAGTTAACAAAATCAGAAAAATGCACTGTTTCATATAAAAATATAAAACTCTGAAACAAAAATGTTTAAAGGGAAAATATAGTAAAATTGACATTCCAAACTACAAGAAAAAACGTATTCAAGTATCGGCTGTCCAAAAAGTTTAGTTATTGAGTAACTTGAAAACGTTTTTTTAATATGCTTGAATAGCTATAAATTGAAGATATATTGCATTTATATTTTAAAACAATAGATTTTATTATTGATATTGTTAAAAAAAATTTATAATTTTTATTAGGAAAATGTTCTTTATAACATTAACAGACAACGTAATATATAATATTACTAACAACAGAACAAAGATACCAAAAATCGCGTTTATTAAGGGCTAATATGTTATTTTAGAGTTAAATTCTTTTTTTAATAATTTGCGAAATATTCTCGCAATATAACCGAGAATTAATTGAAATTTTAAAGAAAATAAAATTTTTTTTCGTTACAGAAAATATACACATAATGACTTGAGTCATTTGTGATCCAGAGATGAACTTTGGAGTTATACATCCATTTAAAGGATACGCACGAATTGAGGCTGATAACGCACAAAAGTTGTTCTCTAGATATCAAACTTTTTTTAGCAATAGAAAAATGACCGATATTTGACTACGTGCTCTTAGTATTAAAAAAAAAAAAAATTGGCAGGACACGAATGACCCAGACGTGTGTAGTGTGTACTAAGAATTAAGCAGGAAGTTCATATAATTTTTTTACGTAAACGATTACTTAGAGCGTTTTATATCCCATTTGAAATCACTATATTATTGGCAATATATTGTATACTATTCATTGCTAATTTATATGTATGAAGAACATTATGAATATAAATTTATTATTTATTCACAATTTTTTTTCTAAAAAAGAATAACTGTTTCAAAACAATTATTAAACAGAATACTGAAAGTACAGAAGTACTTTAAATAGCTTGTTATGGCAATACTTCTAAAAAATAAAAATTTTAATTACTATAACGTTTTTTTTTATCATGGCTTTTCGATAGAATTGTATGTTTAAAGATTCATAAAGAATATGTAGTTATGAAACAAAAGTTTAAAAATATCTAAATAACTATTGCTGGTTTTAAAACAAATATTAATCGAAATATTAAACAAAAGCTCGTTAAATAATTTATTATGATAACATTTTAAAAAAAAATTTATTTAATATAACGTTTATGAGTTTTCGCATATTTAATGTAATCGCATATTTAAAGGTTCATAAAAGGTAGTTATGGAAACAGAAAAAAAATGTTGAATGTTAAATGTAAATATCCATAACTGTTTGGTTTCAAAACAAATATTAAACGGAATATTGAACAAAAGCACGTTGAATAATTTATTATGACGGTGATGTTTCCAAAGAAATAAAGATTTTATTTAATATAACGCTTTTTTATTATAGGTTTTCAAATGAAATTGCCTATTTAATAGTTAAAAAAAATAGTTATTAAAAGAAATATTAACAATATTCAAAATAATATTTTATAATTTATTTATACTCAAAGAGTAGTAAAAGTACATTATAATAATACCTGTAGATAATCCGACAAACGTTATTCATTAATTTATATTTCAGAATATGTATAATTACAACAAATATACAACAAAAACAACATCAATTATTCTAATAAAGTATTATTTCTGTTAATAACAATACGCAATACTTATTTAATTTTTAAAATCATAAAAAAACAATATAAAATATTATTCAAATAATTATGAATGATAATGTAACTTACATCCATAATCACTACCAGTTAATCAACTTTTATAAGCTATCTTTTCACAAAAATCTTTTGGATAAATATAAAAGTTGAATTCTAAAACAATAGCACAGCGTGAAAATCATAAAAGGCTTAAAAAATATATATAAGAAAAGAACTTTGAGGGATCAAGAGAAAAACTGGGTTTTTTTTTACTGAGTTTTTAATTCAAAATTTCTAATTTTTGAGTTTTTTTTCTGATCATTTTCATCTCTAGGAAACACGCAATTGATAACGAAAACAGATCGCGTGTAACGAACGCGCGCTACGTAGCCACAATATCGGGCAAACCATTGTCGCAGTTGTACGTATGTACTTCTTCGAATTGACCGAACGTGTTTCAACCTCATGCCGAGTGCCGTAAACGATTGCTGTAACAATTAGATGTCCAAGCTTTCTTCATCCGTTCATGAGAGAAATATTGATTGATCAGATAACCAGTGATACGTAATATGTAATATATCAGCCCTTTCAGCAAACGTGCGCCACGTTATACGTTCAAGCATTGGAACATTTGTCACAAAAGCAAGCAAAATGAATTAAATGGATAAAGCTTATACTGTTAATTTATAATATCATTATTTTATGTTCATTAATATGGAAATATTAATATGAAAATCGAAATAGTATTCTGATTTTATAGTTACGAAAATTGAATGAGATTTATTCAAATATTGTCGATAAATATTTTATATATATATATAATTGTATTCTATTTTATCGATAATTAATTTTTCGATATGTTATAATTAAAATTAATAAATATTGTTGTTAATATATAAAATAAAAAGATATATTTTGTATTAAAAAATATGTTAAGATTTTTTTTATTATTATGTTTCTCGTACCGTCATTTTACAAAGAATGACCTTACTTTTAAAATATTTCAATTATGTGATATAGAACCCCGCACTAATCGTGTGGAAAATTGAATGGAAATCCGATGAAATGAGTTAGTTTTCGCATATAATGTAGCTTATAATGTAATTGAACAAAAAAGATATAAGAGACACAAGACTTTAACTATAATGTTTCAAAGGTGTTGTGTAAGTACAAATTTTACATCTTTAATACATCTTTAATCACAGCCCAAAAATTATCCATTATTGAACCTTGTATCTATAGCATCTTTTGATCAACACATTATAAGGTACATTACATGTGAAAACTAATTACACTTATTTCTCGAGGATCCAATTTTCTACATAATACGAGATCCTGTATTTATACATATTAAATATAAACAATTCCATTTTTTGATAAAATATAAAATAAATACAATATTTATTTCGAAATAAAGTTTAAACGTATCCAACACGTCAGAGAGAATTAAATTCATGTTTCATCTCAACAAGAATGCAAATACACTCTTGTTTCCGCGAAGCATCCTCTGTATAACTTCGTGGAAAATAAGTTTGACACAGCTACCGAGTCCACCTGAAGTTGGACATCAGATAACGCTGTTATAAAGGCTAAACTTTGGCTATCTAGAGTTTGTTCGGCTATATTGTAGAACAAAATTACAGGACATCGAATATTCTCGTTTTGAAGTATGATTAACACCAGAAGTAATTAAGCTTAAACTATAAGCTCAAACAAACAATGAGAAATGAATCCATCTTACATAAGTTGCAAAACTTTTAACAAAATAGTATAGCTGAAATATTCTGCTAACATCCAAGTTTTTAACTGATTCTTTTAAGAAGTCGTGGCACTCGTGATGCTTTATCTTTTCGTCGGAGGATTACGAGCATTCATGTAAAACAACTTTATTGGAAAAGTATTTGATGGAAGTTCCGCGTACGGAAATACATATATTTCACGTCATATACGCCTGAAGAATGTATATTCTATCCGAATAATTTATCCATTGTTTTAGTAGCACGTCATGTTTAGCTTAAAAAGTTTAAAGGATGGAAAAGTCACGGGCGGCGTGTATGCACATATTAATCAATATTTCGCGTTTTCTTCCAGGCACAACGACCTACCCTGGAATATACGAAAGTTCCTGAAGAACCAGCTGAGGGAATTCAGGTTTGATGACCTAAGTGACATTCATCCCTGGTCACGGAGCGCCTGGAGCCACACAGATCTCAAGAGATTGAGGCAAGGCATGGTTGCAGCGCAGGTGAGTTTAATAATAAATGTTCGTCAAAGTTATTGTCGCGGCCAAAGCTTGATCTATTACGATACTGATTGAATGTGCAAAAAATTTTTCGTTGAATAACATGCAGCCTCTCTTTGCACAATTAATTAATTGTCGATATTTACGTTGAATCGATTGGTTCAATTTTTAGAAATGAAATCTAGTAAAAAATTTGTTGAATAATTTGACTTTTGCAAAGATATTTTATGAAAATAAAGTAGAATCTTTTTACTTCCACAAAATGAACAAGAATACCGTAAAACTCTTAAGAAGATTATTGGAAAGCTACTTGTATTAAATGTGATTTCTTGAATGTTAACTGCTTGATCAGGTTTTCATTGCTTTAATTATATACGTATTACGCTTATTAGTGTTTCTATTGTTTTTTAAAACTATGACTTCATATTAGAGATTTTGCATAAAATTTGTGAATAATTTATAATTAATTATTGTTCAGTGAAAATACACTTTGTACTGCATTGGAAAAAAAGTGTTTGATTTATGACTATAATTACATGATACAATAATTATGGTTATTACTGCTATAATATGTTAATAATAATTATTATTTACAATTCATTTTCTATATACAAAAATATGTACAGTCCGATCCGAAAATAGTTATAATTTATATTTTTTTGTATTAATATAGAACTGTAACAATAATTACATTATTGTTATTAACATTACAACAGGAATAACTGTAAAAATGAAGCTTCTAACCGTAATTACTTCATCATGCAATTATAGTTACAAACACCAAATACTTTTCTCACAAATTGCATCATGGGAAATAAAGTAAATAAATAAAAAAAAAAAGATAACATTGTTGCGGATTAATCTGAATTTCTCTCTCTCTCTCTCTCTCTCTCTCTCTCTCTTTCTCTCTCTCTCTCTCTCTCTTTCTCTCTTGGTTTTCGAAAACAGACCTGGCAATTAGTTGAGCTTAACATGCGATTTTCGCCAACTTCGTCGCAGCTCGCGAGGTGAAAATTAAATCCACGCGAATGAGAGAATCGCATGTCGCCTTGAAGCCACAGTACCGCCAAATTGCAATTAAATGTTCGCACGTAGAACTCGACCTGCAGAGTCATCGACAATTATAACTAATTTAAAGTCGCGTTAATCCAGTCTGATTTAAATTCAAGCGGTTGCCGACTCGCAGAATCGCATGCAGTTAGTCGTTCACCAATATTGCTACGAAATGTTCGCCGTATCCTAAAGCCTGTTTTGTTCGTGGCAAGCAGAGATTATTAATTTATAGCGTGCCGTGTACGTAACTCAGCTATAAATCAAACAGCAGCGGTGCCGCGCCTAATAGCAATTAATCGATTTTACGAAGATTTCACGCCTATGTTTAAACGCGAATGTGTGGCGCGTTTGCAACTTTCGAGTATCCTGGTACGTCAATTTGTGCGAATTTCGTGGTATCTATCGCAACAAGTACGATAAAATTTATGTTGCAGAAAAGGGAAGTACGTGCTACACAATACATGAGACGGGAGAGAAAAAAGACTAAGCTATTAAACATGTTACTGTAATGACAAAAATTACAGAAATTAATTATCTGCCACCGTGTTACATCGTGCGGAACAACCCCGTGAACGAAAATCGACTAACGCGGATCCTGCCGGAATTATCTAGCAGTTCCGATTTTCCGTGAACCGTGAATTTAACGAATATAAATTTGATCTTTCCGATCGCGCAGTTAAAGCTTTCACGCGCGACGCTTCTGCCGGGTGATCGTTAATAACGGGGATTAATCTAAAATCGCAATTAAGATCTGACCGTAAAAAATCACCTCTCAGTTCAATTAACGGCAGAAACGGCTCTTTAACGACCCGAGGAAAATCGAGGCGAACTTGGGCAATTAATTTCCTTCGGTTGCCCGCCGTGCTTCACGTGCCGCCGAAAATTTACCACGACACGATCGGTTTCCTTCCCTTTTCATCCCCCATCCCGAAATACCTTCGATTAATCCCGCGAAAATCCCTTTCCGACCGACTCGGTATCGTATCGAATAAACTTCGACATAGCGCGCGAAACTTTGCACGAAGTCGGAGAATCTCTATCGAGCATATCGACTCTCAACCGCATTCGCGGTAGCATGAAGTGTTCGTTAGAAATAGACGAATCAGAGTGATAAAAGAATTGTAGCTAAAAAAAAATTTTGATGAATTCCGATAACACGGAAAGAAGAAAGAACGATTTTATTGAAATATCTAAAATTTAACTAGATAAAGTTCTGAAGATAATTTTGTTGGAATCATCAAAATAATTACATAGAAATCTCAAGCATAATGAGCGTTGCAAAAAGTTTTAACATTCCAGCAAATTTCAACGTCCTATACATAATAATTTTATATAATGGTCCAATAAAATTATTTTCAAATCTATATCTAACTACATTTTTAGTCAGCAAAACTATCCTTTCCATATAAAGACAATTTTTCTCTAGAAAAAGGAACATGTGTAATCAAAGAAATAAAAGATTTAAGTATCAATTAGAATTAAATATTGCTTGAAAATTAAAATGCTCTGTAAATAATATAAATAACGCAACTATTCGCGACTACATCGGTCGATTCCGCGTAAATTCTTTTATTATAAAAACTGTCTTCAATTCCAAATATTCTCATTATCAAAAATTACTCCCCTTTGTACGTGATAAGCTTATTGCATTTAGTAGCTCTCAAAGAAGAACAGAGACTGAACGGAGGCTGCGTGGAGAATTTATTTACGGTACTTGAAGCACTCGCGCGCGCGCCAGCAGAACGTGCCTCTAAAGACACGAAGTGCATAGTCGAGAGTTAACACAGAAGAGGAAGACAAAGATGCATAGTCGCGGTGTATGCGCAAAGTACTTAGTCCGGTGAAAAGTTTTGGGACGCGTGCAAATATAAAGATATTTCTCGGGAACATATTCGAACATCGAATTTGGCGTGTCGTACATATTCGTATATAGATGGCTATATATATATATATATATACAACCCGCGGTGTGTTCAAACGAGAATTTTGATTCGTGTTAAATAAACGATGTGATTCAGTAGCGTGGTAATAGCAGGGTATACTGGTCATAAACTCGCACAATATAGCGCGAGAATCCATTTAAGAGCCCAATATCGAACGCGACCCGGCGAGGACGAAGTGTGACCCGTACACACGTGCGCTATACGTTCTTAAATGCATTGAATCTCGATTAAATTGGAAGGAGGATTATGGGATTTTCGGTCTCGCGAATATTCATTTTCGAAGTGCCGCTTGTGCGTTTCTCTCTCTCTCTCTCTCTCTCTCTCACCTTTCCACCATTCCGTGATGATAAATCCAAAGACATAGAACATGGACTGCACTATTCGCATCTAATAGCGAATTTAATTACTTAGTATTATATATTGGATTAATGTATACTAAAAGTGAAATTAATGAAGTTAAATACATGAAGTTAAATATAAAACAGTATATACATATGTAGATGTATTAATTTAATTTAAACGATTAAATAATCAATAATGACATTGTTATGTTAACACACATCACATTTAACAAAATATATATACCTATGTATAATTTTATTATCAAGGTGATTATCATATTATGCCATTACATTTAGATACTTTACATAAAGCAATCTTTAATGTGCACTACTCTAGAATAGTATAAATGACCGAATACAAATATGGTCAATAAAAATGAGAGGGAAGAAAGACGGCCAATCTCTCTCTTTTTCTAATTGTAATTAATTATTCTCTAAATCTGAATCAGTGAATAGTCATTGATTACCTAGTGGCACTGATAATCAGTGAAGTTCAACTAAAAAAGGAAGAATGTTTGAGCATTAATAACTAAAATACTAATATTTGCATGTTAATTTCAATCTTCCAATACTATATTCATTAAATTTAAGCACTAAAACAAGGTTAGTTAGATCACATCATAAAAATTAACTAGAGATTAGGGATCTCACATTTAATTCACTGATTACCAGTGGCATATTTGGCACTGATATCAATGATTATCCATTGATTCAAATTTAGAGAGTAAATACATACAATAGAGACTGACTATCTTCACGTTCTATCTCTTTCATTTTGTCGACCAATTTTACACACGGATGGCGCGGTCAATACTCTATAACTTTGGATAAATCCACGTTTTTTTCAAACGGGATTCGAGGGCTGCGTGCGGAATCCGTTAAAATGCATTACGAATTAACGGAGCTGTTGCTCGCACGTGCTACATAGGGAATAAATAAATAATACATCGCAGGAGATTAAACCCCCGTGAAATTTTCAGTTACAATGCAATTTGCAGTCGAACGGGCGCGGCGGGATGCAGAAATCGAGCTCGTGGCCCCGACGCGACGTCACGTTGCGTCATGTCGGATGAAAGGGTAATGTTGAAAATCGCCCGATATATCCATACGTCATGCCTCCTCGTCGGGAAAGGAAATTTCTCGAGAGACCTTTGAAAATGCCATCATTCTCGTTAGCAAAGACAGTCTCGGGATGATCCCCAACTATTAAACGCTCCCGTTATTTAGACGCGCTTACGGCGAACGAGGCGGTAAGCCGCAAGAAAAGAGTTGCCACGAATCCGAAAAAGTCAGTGCTCTCATGGAAGTGCAGCGTGGAATAAGATACCTTTGAAGAGGATCGAGATCTTAGTTACTTTAATGTTAAAGTATCTGCTGGTCTTTTAGCGAGGCGGGGAGGGGGAGAGGGGAGAAGCCAAACGAGCATCCACCGAGCTAATGAGAAGACGTGTAAATGCGCGCCATTTACCGTTGCAACGTAATGAAATCATTAATGTTATTAAATGGAATATTAATTTCATGCATAATGAGTGGAGATGCTAGTAAAACGCACTGTATTTACGATGCGCGCACGTGCAACATACCGCCGGCACGTTACGAGCAATTTTTCATAATTAATGCCAATCTGTGATCGCGCGAGGTTTCCGAGGCATGGCGTAATAACGAG